GAGACCCAGGTTCGAGTCCCCACTCTTCTGTGGGCTGGCCTTCAGCCAATCACAGACTCTCAGCCTAACTTACCTCACAGGGTTGTTGTGAGGGGAAAAATTGAGGAGAGGAGAATAAGCGGCTCTGGGAGATAAAGAAATAAGTAAATAAATAAATGTGATATTCTAGCTGCACTATGACTAATTGCTCGATGAAGGCCTCTATTGGGTATGAACTGATCCAGGACTGGCCCTGGACCCGTGCCCCGAGTAATTAATTAATTAATTATCATATGACGGTGTATGTAGTATAGCCAGGAGATCCTAAGATTGTCTGGCAGCCAAAGGTTCTAGCTTCTTTAAAGCTATGCACAGCCTACATCTTTCTCCTCTCCTCCATGTTATTTATTTATTTAAGAGAGGAGAGACTGGATTTATACCCTGCCCTTCACTTGCAGTCTGAGAACGACTTGCAATCTCCTTTCCCTTCCCCTCCCTACAACAGACACCCTGTGAGGTAGGTGGGGTGAGAGAGCTCTGAGAGAACAGCTCTGACAGAACTTGTGACCAGTGTTCCCTCTAAGCTGTGGTAGTGTGAGCTAGCTCAAGTTTTTTTAGCCTCTGGCTCACACATTTTTGTCTTAGCTCAGGAAGGATGGCTCCAGTCCGGAGCATACTAATTTATGCAGTAGCCAAATCACCTGCCTGCTCACAACTTTAATGCTGGGACCCCTGTAAGCTGTGGAGTCTTCTGAGCAAAAATTCTACTTTATGAGCTACTGGCATTAAAGTTGTGAGCGAGCGATTTGGCTACTACCCTTCCTGAGCTAAGACAAAACTGTGTGATCCGGAGGCTAAAAAAAATGTGAGATAGCTCACACTAACTCAGCTTAGAGGGAACACTGCACAGGACTCCACAGCTTTGAGGGATCATTGCTTGTGACTGACCCAAGGTCACACCAGCAGCTGCGTGTACAGGAGTGGGGAATCAAACCCAGTTCTCCCAGATTAGAGTCTGCACTCCTAACCTATTTATTTATTTATTTATTACACTTATATCCCGCCCTCCCCCGCAAGCAGGCTCAAGGCGGCTGTCCTCACAATAGGGCAGTTATCCTCACAACAACCCTGTGAGGTAGTTGAGGCTGAGTATGTGTGACTGGTCCAAGGTCTCCCACTGAACTTCCATGGCAGAGCGGGGATTCGAACCTGGGTCCCTGGATCCTAGTCCGATGCTTTGACCACGACCCCAGTCTGGCGATTGATGGCATGCGGTAACTATTAATGAATAACAGAAGCGTGTGTACGGATGATAAGGAACCGGATACAGCTTTGCTAACTGCAGGGGAATGTGCGCGGCAAGTGCTCAGAAAACAAGGACTATCTTACTGTCACACAGATAGGTATAAAAAGACCCAGAGTACGCCCTTTTAGACTAAAATGAGAAGGAGGGAAAACTCAATGCAACAGATTTGTTCAGAACTAGATTCCATCGATAGAGCTCCGGGACACAAACGTTTGAAGTTCGGCAAGACTTTGTGTGTGTTGTTTTCTTTATTTAGAAATGGTAATGATATACCGCGTGAATATTCCCCCCCCCCAGCCTGTAATCTGCCTGGAATCTCAGGGGGAAAGGTGGACTGTGAATGGGCCTGTCAACTCTGGATTAGGAAATTCCTGGAGATTTGGGGAGTAGAGTCCGGGGAGGGACTTCCAACGGGGTCTAATGCTATAGAGGGCACCCTCCAAAGCAGCCATTTTCTCTGGATCTCTGAAGACCAGCTGTAATTCCAAGAGATCTGCAGGTCCTCCCTGGAAGTGGGAAACCCTAGGCGTAAATAAGCTAACTAATAATATAAAAAGAAGTGTTAAAGAAATTAAATATCCACAATGACCTCCACTACTAAGAAAGAAGACTCTATACTCCTCTTGTGATGTTGTCTAGGAAATAGTCCTCTACCATATTTTGGGGCGGTAGAGGTTTTCACCCAAATACACACAAAAGACACTGGGGTGAAAAGCCCGAGAAACAAAAAACTAATGGCTGGAAAACAGCAGCCCCGTCGCATACATGCAAGCAAACAGCCCGCCCTAGTGGCCGGAGGCAGAACTGCATCTCTGCTGGTCCAGCTAGATTTTAATTCAGGGTCCTCAACGCAGCGCCCGCATGTTCCCCTCCGCTTTAACTCAGAGCACATCAAACCACAGAATACGGCTGCCAACTCTGGGTTGGAAAATTCCTGGAGATTTGAGGGTGGAGCCTGGGGAGGGTGCTCAGCAGGGCACAATGCCCACAGTCCGCCCTCCAGAGCAGCCATTTCTGCAGGGAAACTGATCTCTGCAGTCAGGAGCTCAGCTGAAATTCTGGGAGATCTCCAGCCCCCATCTTGACCAAATGCCACAAGAAAGTTTAAGGCGGCACACTATTATTAAGTAAAGGTCAAGGTTTCCCTGGCTCGAAACCCAGTCGAATCCGACTCTAGGAATCTCAGTTTCCAAGCCGAAGAGCCGGCGCTGTCCGAAGTCTTCTCCGTGGTCATGTGGCCGGCATGACTAAACGCCGAGGTGCACGGAACGCTGTTACCTTTCCACCGAAGCGGTCTCTATTTATCTACTTGCAATTTCTTGCTTTAGAATTGCTAGGTTGGCAAGAGCTGGGGCCAGAGACGGGAGCTCACTCCTTCTGAACTGCTGAACTA